AGACATTCTTTCCAGCCATCATCTTCAGCTTGTATGAATAGGTCAATATGGATGATCATGAATCTGGTATAAACTAAACTGTATTTTATTTTAAATTCAGAGCTTTTTCATAAACTCAAGACTCGTAGGCACAGATAATGATTTGGTGTATGTGTTATTAATATTGTGCTTGCTGGGTTGGCAGCTCACCAAAAATTAATCACCATCACCACCCCAAGCACTGCTTTTAATATTACCCTGAATTACCAGATGACAGAGGAAGCTGGTGATACTATATATGGGCAATAATGAAAGTGGCTCTTTACAGAAACAAAGATTACCATCCTAAGAATAGACACCTAGTAAGAATACCTGAATAGAGGCCCCCATACAGCGAGATGTGGCTAAAAGTTGTTCCATGGATTCAGTTCTGCATCAAATGAAACCTTCCCTCCAGATGATAAGCAGAGAAGCTATGGAATGATCACTCGTTTTCAAGAGACTTAATATTATCTTCTAGGAAGAATAACACGAGAGGCTACATCCTGACTTCAAAGTTAGCAGTGAAGTCACTTGGAGACGTAAAGGACATTAAGCAGTTACCAGCCAACATCAGTATCATTTCAGATTTTAATTTCATTAGCTGAACTGGCAAATAGCCAGCCTGTGTATAATAGATCATCTCCACAGTGATCTGTTGGGGATAAGTTATTACAAAATTAGGCATTTTCTTTAAGGAAAGCAGGTTGCTGCATTGTGTTGGGGGAAGCAGAAAGGAGAAATAAAGCAAAAAATAGGGCCCCAAAACATCACAATACAAAGTGGCATAAAAATAAACCCACATAGTCATCCAGCTCTGTCACTTTGGAATGTCAGTTTTAACTCTCGCCTACACCCATCCGTTTCCAAGAGGTTAATGCCAGCCTTTGCAAAGCATCCACCTTCACCATAAAATAACTGGCTGGAACACGAAATATAGAGACACCAAACAAGCGGACACTGCTTGGGATCTGATGTGTGACTTTGTTTTTACGAAGTGGCATTCGTCTGAATTTTATAGCCAGAGTTATTTAGTGCACACTAGTTTCAAACCAAACGATTAAAAAATCCAGCAAAAGGTAATATTAGGGGAAGAAATGCAAGTCAGGAAACCTGTGCACACCCATGCAATTGAAAGACTTACCCCATTATCAGAGACAAGAATTAAGGCTTCTGGCTAAATTGGAAAAACAAGAATAGACAGTCTTTAAGACACCGTTTCTCTCTCAAAACAAAAAAGGTCACAAGATAAACATCATCAAAAAGATATAATAAATAATTCCCTTTTAAAGGCTACTCTCCAAATGTGGGATAAATGGCAGGAAAAAATTAACTGAGTATATCCCCAAACTTTCTGGGGATGACTGTTCCCCTCCGGGCAGAGACCAGGGTTCTTTTTCTATCAAGAATATGTCATGCAACTACAAAAAGGGGTAGTATTGTCAAAACAAAATATACAAGAAAAACCTTAATCTGATCAAATCCCCTGGTTTCAAATGTCTTCCGCTGCAATGTTTCATAAATACTCTATCTATTCTTTACAGAATATAAAAGATATTCTTGGCACATGGCTCCATTTTACATATAAATGAGAAAGAAACATTTGCTTGCTTTTGGATTCCAATGTATAGTCTCATAAGGTCTAGCCCACCTGTCTCTTCTGCTTCTATTAAAATAAGGGCAATATATTTTAAAATCTTCATGCAATGGTATTTTTACCCTGAAAGGCTGCAACATATTCACAAAGGATACTCATTTCTGTGCTGAAGAAAATTTGGGGAAACAGGCACCTTCTATCAGACCTAATGGCTCTGTACCAAAAGTCATGTTCAAAAAATTAAATATCATGTTCAAAAAAATTATAAGATATTCGATTCCTCTTTAAGCTAGAACAACTCTTTTGGCTTATACACACGGTAAACAGATTCCTCCAACTGGTGAGACCTTATAAACTGACTTTGGGGTGCTGCCAAATTACAAATAGCTTAAAAGGGGGGGAACCCTACCTACTATTTTAACCTGGACCTCCAAGAACTGGGAAATTATGGTGCTACATAAAATATTGTGCCAATTAAAAGGTACGGAGAATCCTACCTATAAATGGCTCCCTTTCCTTTTGTGTACTGAACACAAAGACAAACTCTATTAAAAACACACCATTAAGTTCAGGTCAATCTATATACTTTAAACGTGAATTGAAGCAACACATATTTTCTTCTGAATATAATTTAGTAGTCAAAACTAATTTTTAAATTATTATATAGTGATAGCTGCTGCAACCACTTTTTCTTGCTTCTTTCTGTCTCATATAACTTTGCAAATTTGTTTGGTTCTTCCAATTTGTAATATTTTGGGCCTGTTGTGAACTGTTACTAGTGACGAACTTGTATTTAAGCAAAGATAGAAAGGTGTTTTTTTTTTAAAAAAGGTCAAATACACAAACACTTCCCAACTTTTAAGACACTGATGTTTGCCATTAACTTTCATACTGTTCTCGGACAATTGCAGATTTTCTGCATCAGTTTCTCATTCTCCTATCTAAATGCTCTCCAGTTAGGCCTTCAAATAAATCTGGACCAGTTGGGGGGGGGGGTAAGAAGAACAGAATCAAGGTGAAATAACTGGGACCATTCATAGAAAGTTGGTTTTTTAACTATGCCGAGATGCTAATTTTATTCTAAGCATTCCATCTCACAAAAGCCACATGGCTACTTCAGTCGGGACTTGATCAAAAATAAGGATTCCCCCTTGGTTGCTGACTACTTCCCTTCAGTTTCTGTACATCTTTCTTACCACAAAGCCAGAACGCTACAAAGGAAAAGGGAGGGCTGCTACTTACTGCAGTGGCTCTTACTAGATAAAATAAACTGATTCCAAGAACAATCTGCAGCAATCAAGAGCAGAGGAAAGACTCTACCAAGGGGGTATATTTGTGAGAGGTACAGCTATGCATTTTGTCAGAAGAACATCCCAAGGGAGAAGATTAACCAAAAGGGGGGGGGGAGCATTCTGTGACATGAGCTGCTGGTACAGAATTCTACAACTCCTTACCATACATTTTGCCTGCCTAAGTTAAGAATTTTCTGGAGTTCCCAACTTTGGATAGAGACACTTTTTTACTTGCTTTCACCTTTTTTCAAATCAACATCACCCTCCAGAGAGCCAGGATCTTGCTTTTTTAAGGAAGGGGGAAGGCAACAGGTTACTTCTACTGTTCTCAGAAAATTCTGCTTTACAGTTCTTCAGTTCACTTCTCTGCGGGCAGAAAATAAGACACTGAAAAGACAGTAACCTTTACTGTCAAAGAACTGTACTCAAACTGAAATTGTTCCACTCCAAAAAGAAATGGCATATTATGAAGGCAAAAAGATTTGATTGTCAAAGGCAGGCTGGGCAGAAATCTTTCTAATCAGATTTACTGGTTTACCTGTCTGAAATCACCTGTAATCACCCCCTCCCCCAAATACATACTTCTACTTTCTTAGAAGTTCATTCAGCTTCCTCCCTGCATTGCTGAACCCACAGTTTTCAGATTATGAATTTGGGTCTGTAGAGCTGATCTATTTGGTCTCTTCACTCATTTCTTTTAAGGCCACAAACCATTTACATAATATCCATTTCACTGAGGTCAATGGACTTACTCCAAAGCAGTAAGAGAAGCTTCCAAAAATTACAGCAGATCCCCTAAAAGTAGAAACTCTGAACCATCCAACATAGGACTGAGGATGATCCAACTGTTAACATTCCATTTCCATTAACAACCTTTAAGTAAACTCTTAATATCGCTAGATAAATACAACTATAAAATATATATTTATAAAGACGGCGACATTCTGACATTATCTAGCAAGGGATTGTGCTTTACTCATAGTTTTTAACTATTGCACATGGCTCCAAGTGTCAAAAAATTATGCAGATTCATACTAGCTGCAAAAACAAATAAGACAAGTGTTCTAAAAAAAAGGAAAGCCTGGAGTGGTGTTTTGAGATTTTCCACAATATGCATGTGTTAAATTAAGAAGCTTCAGCTAAACACAACCTGCACGAATGCTTAAAAGAGGTGAAACCAGCCCCAAGCAGCAGGAAAATCCTTTCACCTCACTGGATTAAATGGGCCTTTATAGAGGGTGATCCTGGAAAACTGGACTTTCTCTTCACAGACAGTTCTTTTCCTGGCTTTTATTCTACTGTATTTTAACAGGGAGGGAGTTCAAAGGTTCCAGCAGTCATGTACGTGCAACAATCACATACATCAGTTTCCCCTGCGGTGCTGGTAATTCTGGCAAACTATTTAACACCCAGAAGGTGAGCCTCCTTTAATAACCCAGTGGTTTATCCGGATGGTTTAGGTTACTATTAGCGGACCACACGGCGACACAAACAGGTCTTTCTCAAACTCTTTCATTTATTCAGGTTAGCACTCAATCTGAGACCGTGGCATCCTCCTCAAATTTAAGGGATTATGGCGTATCTCGTGCCTCTGCTGCATCCGGTCCTTTTGCCACATTAAGTTTTGTGGCATGGGGTATCGCTGGGTACCGTGCAAGGACCGGAAGGGGATTCTCACGTGACAAGCTGCTGCTCGACAGCGAGGCTGGGGCATGGGAGGGAGCAGCAGCCAGCGCTTCCTCTCAGCACAGTAACGGTAAGCCTCTTTCCTGTACTGTCTGTCTATGTCGTCACTGTTCTTCCACCCACCTATGATGAACACGTCGTCTTTGTAATAGCATACTGCTGCCCCTTCGATGCTAAGAACCTCCGGGGGCAAGCTTTCTAGAATGTCGTCGGACACCTGGCCAGAAATCTTCCTCTTGGCCTCTTCGTGATCTATGGGGTAGCTTCTGGGACAACACGAGGCTGTGTGATAAAAGTTAGTGTTGGCCACAGCCATCTGGAAACAGCAATAATTGTCGAGGAGTGGCAGAGACTCAGTATCCTGCCACTGTCTTGCATCTGCATCGTATCGTATGATAACAGCCCTTAAGCCGTCTTCACTGTCCCCATCAACTGGTGTGCGGGCAGCCATGTAAACAAACCGATCATCTACGGTGATCACTTTGACATCCCGAAGTATCTTTGGTGCTGGCTCTAAGGTCTGCCACATGTCTTGGTCTGGATGGTAGACAGCTACTTCTTTAAAGCCGGATATAAAATTCCCATGCCCCCCAATGCTGTACAGGTCCCCCTTTATTTCAGTGAGACCAAAGGAATGCTTCCTACTTATTTGATTGGAAACCTGCTCCCACACGTTTCGATTTGGGTTGTACCTTTCCATGGTCTTGGCAAAGCCAGGCTCCATGGAGCCTGCTACATAAACGTAGGATTCTGTCACTGCGACAGCATGCCCATCAAGGTGATTGTGTACGTGTGGCAAATTCACCCATCTATCTTCGTCAATGAAATACCCAACGCATTCACTCAAGTAGTCACCTCCCTCAGACACACCACCAATGACCAGAATAACATCCATGTTTTGTCCAAAACGAGGCAGCAAAGTTACTGGTGAAGCGAGCTGTTGAAAGGTACCTAACTGTAAGATCTCAGCCCTGAGCGCATGGCTTTCTACTGCTTCTGACACAAGTTTAAGGCAAGCCTCATTGCTTGATACTAGCCTTTCAGACTTGACGTGGCGGGTCAAGTAAGTGGGTTTCATCTGAGGCAGCCGCAGAAGTTTAAATAGCTCGCCAAAGTACTTTTCTCTTTCATCAGGATTCCTTTGAACCCACTTTAAGACCATCTCAAAAAGAACTTCTTCAGAGTCCACTGTGATTTCCAAGTCTGAAAGCCAGTCTCTGATGAGGTGGAATGGGAGAGTGTAGAATTCCTCATCTTGGATGACTTTGTAGAAGTTTCTCCTGATCATGTCTGCAGCTTTTAGAGCAAGCTGGTTCAAGGAGTACATGTGAGCCAAACTATGTATAGCCACAGAGTTGGAGAGACTCAGTTTCTTCTTGAGAAATTCTCCACAAAACTCTTTCAAACGTATCAATAGAAACCTGCAAAATAAACACCAGCTTAGAATCAGTTTACAAACAGGGATAAAACATGCCAAGTACAACATCTGAAACCTGCTTTGGTATAAGCACAAATTGACAGTGGATATATATACTTCTCTTGGCAGACACAATGGGCAATATTCTCCCTACGGTTTCTTAAAGTAAAGGTAAAGGTTCCCTTGCTCGAAAGCCAGTCGAATCCGACTCTAGGGTTGTGGTGCTCATCTCCATTTCAAAGCCGAAGAGCCAGCGCTGTCCGAAGACGTTTCCGTGGTCATGTGGCCAGCATGACTAAACACAAAGGCGCACGGAACGCTGTTACCTTCCCACCGAAGTGGTACCTATTTATCTACTTGCAATTTCTTGCTTTCGAACTGCTAGGTTGGCAGGAGCTGGAACTAGAGCCGGGAGCTCACTCCGTCATTCGGCAACCCGGGTCTCGAACTGCTGAACTACCGACCTTCCACAGCCTGCAGTTCAGCGATTAAGACTCTGACCAAAAAAAAAGGAATACCCTGCAAAACTGGGATTCAAATGGCCACAGAGATGGCAGATTGTATTTCCAGTTCCACACTAGAAGGAAACCATTGAGATGAGTCAGCCTAGTACCCGCTACATTCAATATACAAAGCAGCAGCTATGTGCTTGGCCTGGTTCTCTCTCGGTCAAGATTGTGAAGCAGGCAAAGAAAGTTGCAAAGGATCACAGTGCTATCAGCAGCCTTTTTTTGGTCAGAGTATCTCAATTTCTCTCTCTCTCTCTCTTACTCTTTCAACTCAATCAGCTGCTAAAAGCAAAAAGAAGATACAACAGAGATTACCAGCCAGCTGGGAAAGCTAAGGCAAAAACCCAGTGCGGTGAATGAACACCAGCACTTCAGATCAGACTGCAGTTCGAGCAACGCTATGTTAAAACCTTCCTGCAAACAGAAAGCTAACACAGCAAAAGGAAAGGACAGAACTTTCCCCCCTTTGTGATAACTTTCGTTCTACACAGAGGGTTGCTTTTGTGGGGGGGGGGAGCAAGCATGGTGCAATCCTTAGTACATCAAACTAGTAGGATCTGGGACACCCAGGTTTGAACCACTAACGTGAAAGCCGACTCAGCCAGTCACTCACTCTCAGTCTCAACTCCCTTGCAAGGCTCTAAAGCAAACAAGCCGAACATGCTTATTGTAAGCCACTTTGGAAAGAAATGCCAGGTTTAATAATCTAATATTTTGCACATGCGCAGAAACAGAACAGATGAGAAGCCATGTTGGATCAGGCCCATCCAGTCCAAGACTCTGTCTCACACAGTGGCCAAAAAACCCAGGGGCTATCAGGAGGTCCAACAGCGGGGCCAGAACTCCAGAAGCCTTCCCATTTGGTTTGCCAGGTCCTCCCTGGCCACTGGCGGGAGATGCTAGGGTAGGGTTGCCAACACCAGGTTGGGAAACTCCTGGAGATTTGGGGGTGGAGCCTGGGGAGGGCAGGGACCTCAGTGGGGGCACCATGCCATACAGTCCACCCTCCAAAGCATCCCTTTTTCTCCAGGGGAACTGAACTCTGTACTCTGGAGATGAGCTGTGATTCCAGAAGACCCCCAGGTCCTACCTGGAGGACGGCATCCCTACCGCCCACTGTCCCCCCC